TTTTACTATTCAGATATCACCTTTTTATAATGTGAAATCTTAGTCGAGTTAGGGTTAGAGTTAGTGAGTAGCATTATATCAAATTTTGCAAGGATTTTTTTTTGTTAGTATGCAAAAGGTGATTTCTTAGGTGAAATTTTAAGATTAATGAAAAGAGTGATTGTTTTTTAATTTAGCCTTACACTTCCTGATTGGTTAGGTTCATATCACGTTATTAAGGATCGTCGATTTCAACCAATAAGAGAATAAATTTGGATAAGGCTACTTTCCCGTTTTTATTAAACTTGTATTTCACTTATCGTTATTATTATTCGGTCTCTCTGGATAAAGAGAAGAGCATTCTAAAGGAGGATTGTTACACCGTTTTTAATCAACATATCAATACTATATTTCAAAGATTACATTAATATTAAGCCAGACTATTATCAAATAGATTTGTTAAGAATTCTAATAATTTTTAGATATTAATGTTTATTTGAAATCTTTACACGTTTTTATAAATTACTGTTGTTAATTAATTTGAAATACCAACTCAATTTTGATGTATTCATAAACATTTAATACTGAAAAAAAATTAATAATATTTTATAATTCGAATTACAATATTTTCATAAAGGTTAGGGAATAAATAAATTTTACTGTTTGATACAATTATCGTATCGTCGTGAATAACGTCCCGGCATTGTTTTTAACTTTAAAGATAGCCGAAAATTATTCAATCAAAAATTTTCTAAAAATAAAATTATTATTCGCACTGCTAAATTAATCATTGGGGCTTAAAATTAGGCTTAAAATAATGCCCTGGAGCGTTATTTCGCGACGATGAGTGCGTAATAATATTGAAAAGATTTTTATGATTACTGCGCCATTAACCTGAGGTTCAGTATATTTATGAATGATGCATAAACAAAAGAATTACTTTTTAGAATGCTAGGTTTTTTGATCTATCTCGATATCGAGTATATTATATTGCTCACATAAAATATAATATACACATAAAATATAATATACCATTTCGATGCAAAATAAGTTAATAAATATAAAAAAGCTACACGTTATCTCATGTGAGCAAGAAAAAAGCATTTCTTAATAATCTTTTCGTCGAGTAGTCTAATATGTAATTGATACACAAACACTTGGTCAGTTTAATGGATTAATAATTTCTAAATATATTGTTCAAAATTGATTCTAATATTTCTATTTTTTTAATTCGTCTATCATTGTTTTTAATTTTTCAATTTCTTCACTAAAAATTTTTGTTAATTCCTGAATTACCTTTTCATCACTATCTATTAAATTATGAATTTTGTCATTAATGATATCCGCTTTAGTGAGCTCTAAAAGAATTTCGGAAATAAATGGCATTTCATTAATGTCTTCCCATTTATTATTTTTTATTTTTTTAACTATGTCATGAAATTCATCGAGATAAAACCTATAAAATCTATAAATTAAAAAATTATGAATTAAAATTTATGTCTAAAATAATTAAATTTCGCAATAATATTAACGTATGAAATATTGATATTTACATAATTTCAGGAAACCAGTTGTTTTTTCTCCGTTGGTAAGGTAACATATAAAATAATTCAATTTCTGCTAAAAACTATGTATTAAATAAAAAATAATAATAATTTTTTTTAGAACAATATAAAACTATAAATGACA